CACTAAGGAAGTAGATTGCCCAACCTTCCTTCTGAGGAGTGGCTGGTGGGTTTGAACTGCCAGTCTTCTGGTTAGCAGTCAAGTGCCTTAGGCACTAAGCCACCAGAGCTCCTCCCCTAATAACCTTTGGTTTCTGTGTATTCACTTGTTTCGGGTAAGTGTGTTCATACAGTATTTGTCCTTCCGCAGCTGACTTACTTTGTTCAGCATGATGTCTGCAAGGTTCATTCATGTTTTGGCACTAGGATTTTATTTCTATGTCAAAAAGCCCACTTTTTAAAACACAGTAAGGATCTACTTATTGTTTGAAAGTTGTTCATATTTGAAGTCCCTGGCATAGCCCCTGAGTGGATTGCACTGAGCCATTCATCTAAAGGTTAGTGGTTTGAGTCTACCCAGAGGTGCCACAGAAGAAAGACCTGGCAATCTGCTTCCAAAATAATACAGCTAAGAAAAGTGGAGCACACTTCTACTCTGTAGCAGATGGAATTGCCGTGAGTCAGAATCAACTCAACAGCAAAGGGCTTAGATTTTTGGTTTTTTCCACCCTGGAATGGTCTCTAAAGCAGTAATAGAGGTGGTTGGACAAGTAGCTGTTGCTCAACCCCCAGAAATGCCTTTCTTCCCCTCACCGTGGCCCGCAGGAACTACCACGTGTTCTATTACTTGTTGCTCGGGGTCAGCGAGGAAGAGCGCCAAGAATTCCAGCTCAGGCAACCAGAAGATTACTTCTACCTCAACCAGGTAAACAACCCCAAGCTTGGCCACAAACGCCCTCTGTTCCCCGCCTGCTGTTTTTGGGCCGCCGGGAGCCCAGAGGTCATCTGCCCTGGCCGTCCTTGGCGCCCAGGCCGGCTCTGAGGAGCCAGAGGAGGTGGCACAAAAGGCCCATTGATTCCTGATTCCCAGTCCCACCCACCGGCCGTAGCTGGAATATCTTCCCACATACCACCCTCGCCCCTCCAGAAACATCCAGAGTCTCTGATGTACAAAGAAGTTACCAAGCAACTAAGGCAGGGAAGCAGTCCCCACAAAACTGTCCTCACCCCAGACGCCAGCCACAGATTTTGCGGTCCCACAGGGCCACCTCTCTTTCCTACCAGCTGGCTACAAACTTAGTGACCCCTATGGCTACCCTCAGGCTCAGTCATTCAGTGGGATGACCCATGGAACCCCAGGGAAGCACTATACATACGATGAGGTTTATTTCCGCACAAGGACTCAGGTTGAAATTAACCAAAAGAAGAGGCACATGGAGCAGGGTCTGGGAGGGTCCCAATGCAGAGCTTCCAATCTTTTCCCTCCACTGGAGTCCTGGATGGGGTCACCTGCCCAGGCCTCTTGTGTGATGACATGTATGGGGTATTGACAGACAGGAGAGGGAGCTCCTCCGAGCCTGATGTTCAGGGTTTTTATTGGCTCACGGTAAGCTCACGGATTGGCCGCCCACGTTCCTCACCTTTAATTTCCATTCGCTAGAGAGCTCGGAACTGATACTAAGTGGCCCAAAGCCCCCATCATAAGGGCATGTTATTAGATGGTTATCTTAGTTCCCTTGTGCTCCTGTAACAAATGCCACAAGTAGGCAGCTTTAACAAACAGAAATTCATTTTCTCACAGTTCTGGAGTCTAGAAGTCTGAACTCAGGGCATGGCTCTGGGGAGCGGTCCTTTCTTGTCTATTGCAGCTTCTGGTAGCAGCAGTCCTTGGGTGTAGGTGCACCTGTCTCCCTCATCCTCAGATACAACAAGTCTGCCCCCTGTGTCTGTGGCTGCCTCTAACCTACCCTTATAACTCAGAAGGGCTTAGGTTGGGGACTCACTCTACATCAGTATGGCCTCATTATTAGGACAAAGGAAACCCTGTTCCCAAACAGGATTACATGCACAGGTATAGGGTTAGGAGTCCAATACATATTTGGGGGAACACGATTTGGACCATAACATTCATCCAGGGACATGGAAGTCACCTTCCAGGAGCCAGAGGCCATAGCCAGACCTCAGTTTGGCCAAGTCTGATTCTTCGCTACTGTCTTAGTTTCCTGGACAGCCATGACAGAAAGACCACACGTGGGTGGCTTTGAGGAACAAGAATTAATTGTCTCACAGTTTCAAGGGCTGGGAGTCTGGACTCAGGGTGTCAGCAGGGCTGTGCCTTCTCAGTGGGCTCTAGGGGAAGACTCTTCCTTGTCTCTTCCATCTTCTATTCCCTGAGCGTTTTCTGGCATTTCTTGGCTTGTAGACAATCCTCACAGATGCCTGTCCCCTACTTTGTGTGTCTCTTTCTATTCTGTTCTTATAACTCAGACGGAAGTAGATTTAGGACCCACCCCAGTCCGATTCAATCTCATCGCCCTAACTAATAATATCTGCAAAGAGAAACCCCCGTTCCCTGAACAAGGTCACGTTCACTGGTGCAGGGGTGAGGACTCCAGCCTTCCTTTGTGAGGGATACTGCTCAACCCTAACACCCACATGGGATGCCCTGTATTTCAGCATAACTTGAAGATTGAGGACGCAGAGGACCTGAAGCATGACTTTGAGCGGCTCAAGCAGGCCATGGAAATGGTGGGCTTCCTGCCGGCCACCAAGAAGCAGTGAGTGTCCACACCCATGTTCACCCCATCCCCCCAGTCACCAGAAGGAGACAGGTAGCCAGTGGGCACGTCACTCGGGGGCCAGCCCAGCAGCAAACACAGGAAAAGAGTTTACACCATGAGTCAGAAGTCCCCAGGAGCGCACATTAAAACCATCCCAGGGTCCCCACACACTTGCCAAGAGAGCCTGGATAGGCCCCCCACTTTGAGAAACAGCCTGGCTGTGCCTAGTACAGCTGAGTATGCCAGACCAAGTGCTCACATCTGTTCACCTAAAACAACCACAAATGTCCATAGCAGCCCTGTTTACAATCACCAGAAAACTACAGGGAGTGTCTGGGTGACACAGAGGGTTAAGCACTTGGCTACTGACTGAGAGGTTGACAGCTCGAGTCCACCCAGAGGCACCTTGGAAGAAAGGCCTGGTGATCTACTTCCAAAAGATCAGCCATTGACAGCTCTGCAGAGCACAGTTCTGCTCTGATCCACATGGGGTTGCCTTGAGTTGGAGTCAACCGTACAGCAGTCTCCTAGGGCAGCTGTAACAAAATACCATACATGGTGCCCTTAAAGAAGAGGTGTTTATTGTCTCACAGTTTTGGAGTCTAGCAATCTGGATTCAGGGTGTCAGCAGGGCTGTGAGCTCTGTCTCTGTTGTCTGTAGGAGAAGGTCATACCTTGTATCTTTCTCCTTTGATAGCTGCCAAAGGGGCAGGGAGGCTGCATCTTCTGACCTCCTCTAACCCCACAAGAGGAAGACAGAATCACCATCAGCAGCCCAAGGTCTATTCCTGCGAGGCCAGGCATGCCGCCTCCCTCTAGCCCTTTCACCAGCCCTGACACCAACCATTCCTCCCACAACACCCAACACCTCTCTGCTGGGTTTGATAATTCACTTCATTGGCCACATAGAACTCACAGATTATGGGGTTTATTAGGGAAGCAACAGGCTACAATTCAAGTTCAGAAATGCACTCAGTCTCTTGCAGCCGGCTGTCTCACTCAGCAGCCGGCAGTCTCAGTAGCACATCACTCTCTCAGTAGTATGTGTCTCTTGTGTCTGTCTCTCAGGAGTACGTTTCTCTCAGCATATCTTTGTCAGCCAGCAGTCAGAGAGACTACTTCTTCCTCTAGGAGGGTTCCTTTTGAGCCTGGCAGAATGGCCCAAACCAACCAATCCCAACATCAGAATTCTATACACCCGAGAAAGAGTGAACTTCTCAAGATTGCTTCATGTCACTCTCAACAGAAATACCGCAGGTGGATAACTTTAACAGTCAAGAGCTACTCAGTTGCTCATGGCAAATCCCACCATGGAGTTTACAAAGACTTAGAGCTAGAAAAGCCACACTATGTATTTTACTGCACCACAATAGCCCTAGGCAGTCCTTGGCTTATAGATATATATTCACATGGAGGAGTCTGTCTTTCTTCTGCGTATCTCACTGTGTCTGTTCTGCTCTTTTATGAGACACCTCTCAGAGGTTATTAGGTTTAGAACCACCCTACTCTGGTATGACCTCATGTTCTGGTTACCTAGTGTTGTTCTGACAAGAATATACCACAAATGGGATGCCTTGAACAAACAGGAGTTGATTACCTCACAATTTGGAGCCTTTAAGTCCAAGTTCAAAGTGCCACGCTCTAGGGGCTGTGTGAAAGCCCCTCGACCTTGGGCTTCAGCTCTGCCTCTTGCTTCCGGCCCACTGAAGCTGGAGGCATCTCTTCACTCAGGCAGCTACTAGCTGCTGAGGCTGACAAACCTAAAGTCAGCAACTAAAATGGCACAGTCCCAATGTTACCAAGCCACATGGCAGGCCATTAATTCAAGTCCTTTGTAAGTCCCAAGGTCACAGAGCATGGCAGGCTGATGAAGAATGACATGCAGGGTCCAAGCATGCCATAAGCTAGAGACCATTCCCAAAGTTGTTTCTTATATACAGGAAGCAGACCACATACCCAAAGCAGCTACTCAGCTGCTTGTGGTAGATCCCACCATGGAGTTGATTGCCAGTCTCATCAAGGGGAATAACTACCACCAGCTGCCCAGCCACTCAGCCAGGCCCAGCCAAGTTGACACACGCACTTAACCACCACACCTCATAAGAAAGGAAACCCCTATGTCTTAGCTTCCTAGAGCTGCTGTAACAGAGATACCTCAAGTGGATGGCTTTAAAAAAAAAAACAGAAATTTATGTTCTCACAGTACTGAAGACTAAAAGTCCAAGTCAGGGTTTCAGACATATTGATTCCCTCCTTGTGGGTAGCTCCAGGCATTCCTTGGTTCCTTGGCTTATAGGTGATCCTCATGTGACAGGCTCTCTGCACCCGTGTGTGTGTGTGTGTGTGTGTGTGTGTGTGTTTGTGTCCCTGTCCCTGTGTCTGTTCTGCTCTGTCATCACTCAGAAGCAGTTAGGCTCGGGACCCACCCAGTTCTGGTATGCCCCCATTCACATAACAAAATCCTGTTTCCAAGCAGGGTCACCTTCACAGGTATGGAGGTTAGGAGGCCAACACATATTCTGGGGGACAGAATTCAGTCCATGACATTCTCTTTCCAAACAGGGTCACATTCACAGGTGCAGGGGTTAGAACCTGCATATAACTGGTTGAAGTATAAAAACGGTTCTTAGCTCTGGGACCACAAAAAAGCCTGCCATGGACCAAATTTGACCTACAGGCCATATTTTGTCAACCCTGGACTATTCTTTATCAGTGGTTCTAACCCAGGGGTAATGCTGTGATGTCTGGAGACATTTTTGGTTGTCACACCTGGCTGCTGGGTGGGGGTGAAGACCAGGGACACTGCCCACATCCTACAAAGCACAGGACAGCTCCCAGCACAGAGCACGTCTCAACCAAATTGTGGTAATGCCAACGTGGGAAAACCCAGCTCAACAGGGAGAATTGACAGAGTGTTGGTACCTGGGGGTCCCTGGGTGGTGCAAAAAATTTGAGTTCAACCACTGGCCAGAAAGCTGGTGGTTCAAATCCACCCAGTGGTGCTGTGCAAGAAAGGCCCGGCAATCTACTTCCATAAAGATTACAGCCAAGAAACCCCTGGGGAGCTCAGTTCTGCTCTGTAACAGAAGGGGGTCACCAGGAGGCCAAATCACCTCGACCACAGCAGGGCTCATTGCTACCTGCAGTAACATTAATGACAGCCCCACCCCATCCACTCCAGCCCCCAACATGGTTCCTTGTTGACAGGCCTGACACAGGTACATACAACCTCAGTGACATCAAGTTCACAGACAGCGTTGGAAGTGTGGACAGTGGGTCTTCTGCAGGAGCCTGCATGTTCTGTTTCTTGGTCGGAATGCTAGGTACAGGGTTCTATCTGTACAGTATGTGTTCACACCTAGGAATTGAATGCCTTTCTATATCTACACAGTCCTTCCATGTAAAAATTTTTTTTTATTTCATTTTTCTACAATTACAGAAAATTATATTTCTTTATAATAAAAAGAATGCAAGTTAATTTGAGAAAAAATTTAAAAGCAGAATCGCTGGGTGGCAGCAGTGATGAAATGCTCAACTGCTGGCCAACAGATTGCTGGTTCTAACCCACCCCAGCCACCTCAGAAGAAAGGCCTGGGGATATGCTTCTGAAAGGTCAAAAAACCAAAACCAAACTCACTGCCATCAAGCCGGCCCCAACTCAGCAACCCCTTCTTGGGTTTCCAAGGCAGTATCACCACGGAAGTAGATTGCCCAACCTTCCTTCCGAGGAGTAGCTGGTGGGTTTGAACCGCCAGCCTTCTGGTGAGCAGCCAAATGGCGTAGGCACTACGCCACCTGGAAAACCCTGTGGAGCATGGTTCTGCTGTCCACACGTGTGGTCTCCATGAGCCAGAATTGACTTGACAGTAACTAAGAGCAGTGATTTCTGAAAAAAAAAATACAAAGTACAGTGAAATCTGTGGGAGCTAGAATTCAACAGGATTGCCTTGTTTTTCTGGGTGCTGCAAATTTTTTGCCTTTGACAGGATACAGTCTTACCACTTTTCTATCGCTTCTTCTACTGGAAAATATATTTGAAGTTTTCCTTCTCTGTCAGGTTTCCACCTTACACAGTTCCTGGCTTTTATAGATTTTACTGTACTTATTAGACAAAGGGGCAAAAATCACCCAAGTTTCTAATTTTTAACAATAATAGCTGTCTAATACTCTGGTGTGTGTTCTTCCAGAACTAATAAAAAAAATGTTTTCGAAAGCTTCCCCCACCGCAAAAAAAAGTCGAAAGGACCTTGTTCAAAGCCATGTTACCCAGGCAAGCCGTTGGTAGAAGGACCTAGCATTTCTTCACGTTGTTCTCATGGGTGCTCACTCACTGGTTTTACTAACGAAGCACTGGTGTTCTGGAAGTTTCCATGGCCTGGTGATGGCAGGAACAATCCTAACTCGGGCCCTTTTCTCCCCAAGGATATTCTCCGTCCTCTCAGCCATCCTGTACCTGGGCAACGTCACCTACAAGAAGAGGGCCACGGGCCGTGATGAGGGGCTGGAGGTTGGGCCCCCAGAGGTGCTGGACACGCTCTCCCAGCTCCTCAAGGTATCGCTTGCCGTCCTGCCCCTGCGTGCCACCCTGAGCCTGAACAAGGCGTGCCGGCCAGTGCCCAGGACTTCCCACTTGGCCACGCTTTCATAACCGGGGCCTGCACACTGCTTCCTCCCAGCATCTCCGCCACGTCCCTTCCTCATTTCTGTGATCTCCCTGGGCAGAGGCACCTCACACTACACCCCCAGTTCTGAAGGTTATGTGATCAGCATAGTCAACTGGTGGGACCTGCCAGCCTGTGCCCCCTAGGCGCCATTTGTGGTTGTCATCACTGGGCAAGGATTATCTGCTGGTACTGAGTGGGTAGAGGCCCGGGAAGCTGCTTGGCACCCTGCAGTGCACACAGGACACCCCACCACAGGGAGTGATCCAGCCCCAAATGTCAGCAGTGCCGAGAGGGAGACACCCTGCTGTAGCATGAGAAGCCCTGTCTGTTTATCTATCTATCCACCCACCTCTTTATCTACTTACCCACCCACCTATCTACCCACCTGTCTACCTACTTAACCTACCTGCTCACTATCTACTAACCTGTGTGCTTGTCTGTCTGTCTCTCTGTTCCACTGGTTCTTAGCCAACAGTGATGATTTTGCCTCCTAAAAGATGTTCTGCAATGTTTGGGAGCATTTTTGGTTGTCACAACTTGGGGAAGGGTGCTACTGGCATCAAATGGGCCAGGGAAACCACTCAATACGCTGCCAATACCCCCACCACACACAGTGGTCTAGAACCAAATGCCACAGTACCCAGAATGGGAAGCCCTGGCTCAGTCGTTGTTTCCTGTATGTTCTCACCTGCAGCCTCTCTTAGCTATGGTGTGCCTGCATGCAGACACAGTGGCTGCAGGGATGGTCTTCAGCAGGATGAGTAGATACAGGTCTGCTGGGAGGGGCCTCCAGCAAGCTTTCCCTGCTCCCACTTAGGCTGCAGGCAGGGAGAGACTGCTAGGTCAGGAAGAAGGCTTGGTGGCCAGGTCCTCAGGGAAGGTCCAGGCCCGGCCTCCGACAGCAAGAGCTCCAAGTGCAGGTCATCAGGTGCCATCTGGCCCCAGGGCTGCCTTCCCACCCAAGCCTGCACGGCCACACCCTGGGCTGTCAACCAGGACTATGGAGCCAGCCTGTGGAGTGAAAATTCCCCAACCCACCAGCATAAAGCACATCACAGATGGGCCACCCTGGCGGTGGGCTGCGGTACCCCCTCCTGGCGTAGGCATTTTGGGCTGGGTCCTGGCTATGCCCAACAAGCCCCTCATCCTCTCTCCCTTCTCTCCCCTCTGGATGGTGAAACAGGTGAAGCGAGAGATCTTGGTGGAAGTTCTCACCAAGAGAAAAACGGTGACTGTCAACGACAAGCTCATCTTGCCCTACAGTTTCAGCGAGGTAAGCATGGCCCCAAACCCCTGCCCAGAAGGATGGGTCACCAGCCCTTTGGAAAAAAGAGGGCACAGGTAGTCTCTTCGCATCCCCAGGGTGATAGAGCAGAACCTGGCAGTACCTCTGGTCCTCATGTGCTCATGGGCACAGCACCAGCCTGTTCAGATGGTTAACTGCAGCCCTCAGGCCAAATCTGGCCCCCCACTTGTGTTTGTAAATAAAGTTTTATTGACAACATCCCACATGCATCTGTTTACACGCTGTCAGTGGCTGCTATTAGAGTTCCTAGCTGGTGCAAAGTTCATGCACTCAGCTGCTGCCTGAAGGTTGGAGGTTCAAGTCACCCAGAGGCAGCTCAGAAGAATGGCCTGGTGATCTACTTCCCAAAAAAATCAGTCATTGAAAACCCCAGGGAGCATAATGCTAGTCTGACATACATGGGGTCACCAGGAGTTGGGTTTGACTCCACAGCAGCTGGTGTGGGTACAGCTGCAGTCACACCTACAACAGCAAAGTTGAGTTGTTGCAACACAGACTGCCTGGCCTGCAAAGCTGTAGATATCTACTGTTTGGCCCTTTGCAGGAAAAGTTTGCCATTCCCTAGGCTCGAGCATGACCTTTAAGACCACTGTTCATGGACTCCTGGCCTACGGGTCCCTAAATCTTGATAAGGAGAGTCCTCTGGCCTTGGTACCAGCCAGGATGTTTTCTTCCTGTCGTGTCTTTCTTGCAGTTTTGTATCTCAGGAGTCAGTGTGACTGGCAGCATGTAGCTTGGATCACAGCAGGAGCACAGAAGGTCCCTGACTGGGGAGTTTCTAGTTGGTGGAGACCTTTCCCTGGTGGGAAAGCTGTTAGGCATTTTAAACCACAGACAGCCTAGGGTTGCCGGGTGGTACAGATGGAGAACACACTCAGCTGCAGAGGGAAGTGTTGGAGGTTCGAGTCCACCCAGAGGCACCTGGGAATAAAAGGCCTGGCATTTCACTTCCGAAATTCACAGCCTTAAATGCTGTGGAGCTCAGTTCTACTCCAGCACACATAGGGGTGTGAGTTGGGGTCACCGACGGCAGCGGGTTAGACTCCTGGGTGATACAGACAGTGACGGAAAGGTTGGAGGTTCGAGTCTGCCCAGAGGCATCTCAGAAGAAAGACTTGGTGATTCTGAAAAAGTAGCCACTGAAAACCCTGTGGAGCGCTGTTCAACTGACACGTGTGGGATTGCCATGAGTCAGGTTCAGCTTGTCAGCATCTGGTTGGATCTGTGGCTGACACAAATGGTGGAGAGCTCGGCTGCTGATCAGGAAGGTGGGGGTTCAGGTCTGCCATGTGATGCTCCTCTTTCCATATAGCACTCCTCCTGGTATGACACTTCCCCCTTCTGTGTCCACAGGCCATAACTGCCCGTGACTCCATGGCCAAGTCTCTGTACAGCGCTCTGTTTGACTGGATTGTGCTACGCATCAACCATGCCCTCCTCAACAAGAAGGACATGCAGGAGTCGGTGTCAGTGAGTGCCCTCATCTGCTCCACGGAGCCAAACCACCTCAGCATACCTCCTATGACGTCAGATGAGGGGCCATTTCCCCCCACCCTCAGGTCCAGCTGGGAACAGCCCAGCTTCATGATCTGGGGGACCCAGCAACTCCCCAGGTCACTGCCTGCTCCTGCAGGAGAATCTCCCGTAATCCCTGTCATCTCCATTTCCACAGTGCCTGTCCATTGGGGTCCTCGACATTTTTGGGTTTGAAGACTTTGAAAGAAACAGCTTTGAACAGTTCTGCATCAACTACGCCAACGAGCAGCTTCAGTATTACTTCAATCAGCACATTTTCAAACTGGAGCAGGTAAGAGAGCACCACCTAGGTACCCGCCCAGCCCCCGGGAGCTGGAATGTTCTAGAATGAGGATCTCCCTCAGGACCCGTTGGTGAACTTGCCCCAGAATTTCCCTCTTGCTGTTACGTTCTCGCCCACCAAAGGAAAGTTTGGGAAAGCCCCACGCAGGCCAGGTGGGGGCAGCCACCAGGGCTATCTCTGGCCCCAGATCAGTCCCCAACATTATCTTTGCTCAGGAGTCCCTGGGTGGCGCAGACAGTTGAGTCAGTGCCCAACTACTAACTGACAGGTGGGGGGTTCAGGCCTGGTCGGAGGACAGACCTGGCGATCTGCTTCTGAAAGCTCAAAGCCTTGAAACCCTGCGGAGCAGTTCTGCTCGCACACGGGGGTCCTTGCAAGTCAGAGTCCACTCAGTGGCAAATGACAACTACAGCGGCTCAAATGTCAACTCATTTCAACAGACAGACCAGGCGGACATTCGAGGGGTTTGCTCCGAATGATGTTAATGGTCTATCTTACGTGTCCTTTCTCTGCTGCGTGTGCCGCCATCTTTACGCGTCTCTTATCCTTCACAGTGATGATTCTGACAGAAGAAGCAGATGGATTTGTGTAAATATTTAGCTGATTTTACAATTAAGCCTTCTGGTTATTGAGCACTTGAAGTGTCACTAGTCCAAGCTGAGATGTGCAGAAAGTGTAAAAATACGGCAGATTTAGTAAACTTGTTCTTTTTTCAGTTGCCATTGAATCACCTCTGATTCATGGCAACCTCATATACAACGGAATAAAACATTGGCTGATCCTGCACCAGCCTCACGATTGCTGTATTCAGGTCCGTGGTGGTGGCCACTGTGTACTTTGAGTGCCTTCCAACCTGAGCATCTCATCTTCCAGCACTGCACCAGACAATATTCTATTGTGATCTGTTCTGTGTTTTCATGGGCTGTTTTTCAGAAGTAGACTGCCAGGCCTTTCTTCCTAGTCTTAGTCTAGAAGCTCAACTGAGACCTCTCCACCATAGGTGACCCTGCTGCTGTTTGAAATACTAGTGACATAGCTTCCAGCATCACAGCAACACACTCGCCACAGTGCACCAGATGGGTGGTGGCTGGAAGTCTCAATGTGGCGGAAAAAATGTGAAATATCTCATGGAAAAATTTTTTTTTATATTGATTACATGTTGAAGTGATAAATATTTGAGCTGTTTGGGTTGAATTATATTATTAAAATTAATTTCACCTCAATTAATTTCTTTAATTAATTAAAAGCTACTACAGCCTTCAGTATGGATTACACCTCAACATAAAGAAAACAAACCCTCACAACTGGACCAATAAGTAACCTCATGATAAATGGAGAAATTATTGCAATTGTAAGAGATTTCATTTTGCTTGGATCCCCAATCAGCGCACATGGAAGCAGAAGTCAAGAGATGAAATGATGTAATTCACATTTAAAGTATTAAAGAGCAAAGATGTCAGTTTGAAAACTAACGTGGGACTGACCCTAGCCATGGTATTTTCAATAGCCTCACATGCATGTGAAAGCTGGACAATGAATAAGGAAGACCAAAGAAGAACTGATGCATGCAGATTGTGATGTTGGCAGAGAATGTTGAACGTGCCATTGACGGCCAGAAGAAAGAACATATTTTTCTTGGAAGAAGTACAGCCAGAATGCTCTTGAGAAGTGAGAATGGCAAGACTTCATCTCTCTCGTACTTTGGTCATGATGTCAGATGGGACCAGTCCCTGGAGAAGGATCTCATGCTTGGTAAAGTAGAGGGTCAGCGAGAAAGGGGAAGACCCTCAACGAGATGGATTGATACAGTGGGTGCAACAGTGGGATCAAGCACGGCGGCGATGTGAGGGGTGCAGGACTGGGCACTGTTGTATGTGGGATCACTCTGAGTTGGAACCAAGTCAGTGGCACCTAACAATAGGACTGTTCTACTGTAGTTAAGGAAGCATTCTCAGTTGCCATCATGTTGATTCTGACTCATGGCAACCCCAAGAAAATATTTATATACTTTCTCAAAGAGTGAGCTGTCAAGATAATAAACTTAAAACAGTTAAAAAAAATAAAAGCTGAGAACTGCTTCCTTTCATTTTTGTCACGTAGCTCGTAGGAGATTTATAGGTGGGGCAGTGTTGGTTCAGTGGTGGCCTTCTTGCCTGCGATGTGGGAGACCTGGCTGGAGGGCCAGTGAAGGCTTAAGTGTTGCTACGGTGCTGAACCGGTTTCAGCAGAGCTTGCAGACTGAGAAGAAAGGCCCAGTGATTGTCTTCGGAAACCCGGCCAATGAAAGCTCTGTGGGTCCCAGTGGTCCGTCCTGCACCTGATCCTGGGGGTGAGACGGGGATGGGACAGGACCGTGCAGCATTTCATTCCATTACGCGTGGAGTCACCATGAGTCCAGAATTGATTCCATGCCAGTTAACAACGACAGCATCAGAACATTTTAAATCACATAGGTGACTTGCATTACATTGCCATTGGACAGCATCTCTCTGAATCCAATCAGCAAATTATGTCCAATCTGGCCCCAACGCCTGGTTTTGTCAATAAAATTTCTCAGTGTATAGCCACGCCCGTTTATTGACACATTGTCTACAGCTGTCTTCCCTACTACAACTGCAGGGTTGATTCGTGGCAACAGAGACCATGTGGTCTGTGAAGCCAAACATATCGACCCTGGTCTTCTGCAGAGAAAGTTTGCTGGCCCCTAATCCCTGGGTAGTACAAATGGTGAACTCGCATGACTGCTAACTGAAAGGTTGGTGGTTCAAGTCCACCCAGAGGCACCTCAGAAGAAAGGTCTGGCAATCTGTCGCTGAAAACTCAGCCACCCTGTGGAGCACAATTCTATCCTGACACACGTGGGGTCACCATGAATCAAGGTGGACTTGGCAGCAGCTGGCAGGCTAGACTGTGGCTCTCAGCACCCTGCTCTGATAGGCACGCGCCCATGTCCTGTCAATAATTGTCATGTCTGCTTGCAGGAGGAGTACCAGAGTGAAGGCATTGCCTGGCACAACATCGACTACACAGACAATGTGGGTTGTATCCACCTCATCAGCAGGAAGCCCACTGGCCTCTTCTACCTGCTGGACGAGGAGAGCAGGTGAGCACCTATCTCTGTCTCCTAGAGCTGCTGGAGCAGAAATGCCACACGTGGGCAGCTTTAACAGAAATGTATCTTCTCCCAGTTCAGAAGTCCAGATTCAGGGCACCGGTTCCGCAGAAGGCACTCTCTGTCGGCTCTAAGGGGAGATGGTCCTTGAATCTAGCATTCTTCTCGGCATTCCTTGGCGATCTCCAGGTGGCATCTGTCTTTGCCCCGTTTCTGCCTCTTTCTTTGCCGAATCTGCTCTTTTTCTGTCTCAGACATCATTGGTTTAGGTGCCACCCTACACGGATAGTGCCTGATGGACGTAACAAAGCCCTGTTCCCAAATGGGACTTTTTCTAGAGCCGTGGAAGCTGGATGAACCCCGTTCTGAGAAAATCTTTAGCCCTCCCTGAAACCAAAAATATCCACTGAAACCACACAATAGGTTAGCTAGTAAAAAAGAGCTTCCTTGAGCACTGCGCTTGTTTTAGAACTAATCTCTGTGGGATCAAGTTGACAGCAGCAACTTGAAAGGTTAGCTAGAAAGCTTAGGGCCAATGAGTAGACTTTACGGAGGAGGAACAGCTCAGGAAGGGAGGCTGAGGGCGGTCGCACAGCCTGGAGAATGTGACCAGTGCCCCCGAAGCACACATGGAGGAACTTGAATTGGGGGGCGTTCTGCTGTGTGTGTCCTCAACAACAAAACTAAAATAAATTATAATGAAAGTGATGAGTTTGAGACCTACTCTGTACAGATCTGGCCTCATAAACACAACAGAGAAAACCCTACACAGATGGGATCACATCCATGGATACAGGGGTCAGGACTCCAACATAATTTGAGGATACAGTTTAACCCGTAACACATTCACTGGCTCGGAACTCACTCCCAAGCCTTGGTTCCCTCGTTCGCAGCATGTGGTCGCAAGCCTCACCTGGCTACTGGCAGTGAGAGTGACAGGGATGTATAAACGCTTCACTCGTGGTCACTGGGTGCAGGCCTGACGGCAGGGTCACACTGATAAGGTCTCCACGGGGCTGGGAGTCTTGAGTGACTCAGTCACAACTCCTACATCCAACCATGTCCCCATCCAGGGCAGAAGGCATCACCTCCATTTGCAGCTAGGACACCAAAACAAAACCAAGCCAAACGCACTGTGACTGAGTCAATTCCAACTCCTAGGCTGGGACACAAATAGGGAACATTCTGATAGAAGAAGGGCCAGGGCATGTTAGGAAGAATGAAATGGGTGCTGTTCAGGAAGCCCCCAAACTGGGACGGAGCAGGTGTGTGCAGCTGAACCATCTACCCAGAATCAGACCTGGCTTTGTTCAGAAACTTGCTGTTTTTGTTCATTGTGTCTGTAAAGCTAGGTAAATCCTAGGACAAGAGAGATTTTGAAGTCTCGACTTGATATCCCTAAATTTCACCGTGCTCATCTATTTTTTGTTGTTGTTAGCTGTCGCCAAATTGTTTCTGACTCAGAGCAGCCCCATGTACAGCAGAACGAAATGCTGCCTGGTTCTGCACCTTCCGCACAGTCCTTTTCTGTGCCTGAGCCCATCACTGCAGCCCCTGTGTCAGCCCATCTCATTGAGGGTCTTCCCCTTTTTCACTGAACCTGCACTTGTTAGATCCCTAGAATCAATTCCAGCTCATAGCAACCCTGTGCACAACAGGACAGACACAGCCCCATCCTGCACCAGCCTCGCAGTCCTTGCTGTGCTGGAGCCCCTCATGCAGCCCCTGCGTCCCGTCTGCCTTACCATGCATGACATCCTTCTCCAGGGACTGGTCCCTTCTGACAACATGACCAAAGGAGGTGAGATGAAGTCTGGCCTTCACCTTCTATGGAACATTCCGGCTGCAATTCTTCTAGGACAGATTTATTTGTTTTTCTGGCAGTCCATGATGTTCTCAGCATTTTTCACCAACACCACAATTCAAACGCATCACCTCTTCTTTGGTCTTCCTTATTCATTGTTCAGCTTTCACATGCATATTAGGCAATTGAAAATACCATGGCTTAGGTTAGGAACCTTACTCTTGAAAGTCACATCTTCACTCCTTAACACTTTAAAGAGGTCTTTTGCAGCAGATTTGCCCAGTGCAATATGACATTTGATTTCTTGACTGCTGCTTCCATGGGAGCTCTGGTGGCATAGTGCCTAAGGCATTTGACCACTAACCAGAATCCTGGCAGTTCAAACCCACCAGACACTCTTCAGAAGGAAGACTGGGCAATCTACTTCCATAGAGATACCACCTCAGAAACCCAAGGGGAGGTTGCTATGAGTCAGGTTCGACTTGATGGCAAAGTGTTTGGCTTTTTGAGCTTGCTCCCATGGGTGTTGACTGTGGATCCAAGTAAAATGAAATCTTTGACAGCGTCAGTCTTTTCTCCCTTTATCACGATGCTGCTTATTGGTCCAGTTTGCCTCCTTATAGGGCTGTTGTGAGATTGAATTTAAGTTGAGGCTTGTAGAAGGCAATGACATGGCACACGTGCTCAGGAAACATTAGCCGTTGTGATCAAAGGAACCTCTGGTGCACAAGGTGAATGTGCTCAGGCACTGACCAAAAGGTGGCCAGTTCAAGTCTACCCAGAAGTGCCTCGGAAGAAAGGCCTGGTGATCTGTTTCTGAAAAATCAGCCATTGGAAACCCTGTGGAGTGCAGTTCCACTCTGACACACGTGGGGTCGCCAGTTGTCAGTGCCCACTCAGTGGCAGCTGCTATTACTGTTTAAAAACATGGTCCTGGTGGAGTTTCATGACACCTCCTTCAATTCTGTGCTCAAAGCCAACTTCTCGCTCCTGCCACCTTGCCCCAGCCATGTAAACAGTGACCATCGTAACTCCAGAGCCTCCACCCTCTCACCCTTCCCACAGCTGGGCCACGTCAGGGTCTGGAGGATCACGTGCCCCTGCATCTGCGGTGAGCTTGGCAGAAGCGGGCGGGCCAGGGCTACTGTGGCATTTCCTTCCTTGGAGGCAGGAGCAGCCAGGTACAAGGAGCCCCTTATTCTGCACACGCCACCCCTCCCCAAGCAAGACAGAGCTCTGCTTCATCGCGGCCCCTCCCTCCTCCAGGAGCCAGGCAGCCCCTCCAGAAGCAGCATGCAGGTACAGGTGGGCCTGGAGCCAGGTGTCGCCCCGTGCCCACCCTGTGATCAGCCCAGGTCCACGCCTTGCCTGGGCAAGCATTGGCAGACTCTATAGGGCCAGTCAGTGACCCCCAGTAAACAGCAGGGGGCCCCACAGACCAGGTGTTCTACTCAGCTCCCCCATAGCCCTGCAGCCCCAACCACATAGCTTCCCTGTGGGGTACAACCATCACCACTCTCCAATTCCAAATGTTTGTCATCACCCCAAAAGAGGACCCTGTACCTGTGAGCAGTCACACCCCATCCCCCTCCCTCCACCCTCTGACAGCCGCTGAGCATTTTCTGTCTCTGCATTTGCCTGTTCTAGATATTTTGTGTACATGGGAGGATACACTGTGTGGCCTTAGTGTCTGGCTTCTCTCCCCAAGCATCATGTTTTCAAGGTCCGTCCACGTCGTAGCATGTATTAGATCTTCATTCCTTTTTATGGCTGATTAATGTCCCACCATGCGAGGGGCCACAGTGTGTTTCTCCATTCATCTGTTGATGGACACTCAGGTTGTTTTCACCTTTTGGCTGTTACAAAGAGCGCTGCAGTAAACGCGGGTGTATGAGGATCTATTTGAGTCTCCGCACTCAGTTCTTCTGTGGCTATACCTACGAGTGGGATTGCTGGGTCACACGGTAGTTCTGGGTTCACCTTCTGGAGAAAGCGCCATACGGTCCTCCCCAGCAGCTGCACCATTATACACTCCCACCAGCAGTGGGTGAGGGGTCCTGTTTCACAGCATCTTCCCTTTCAGCCTCCTCCTACCAGGCTGCAAACACGGCCACTGGCAGCAGGTAGCAGACTCCCACGTACTCAACACATGGCAACATTGCTCACTCGCTGGTTTGTTTGCATGTCCTGTGCCACGAGAGTTCCCAGGGACGCCTGCCTGCACTGAATGTTCCAGCACCTGCCCATCCTGCGCATCGAGGCTCTCAGGCCTGGAGTCCAGAGCGTGTGACTGGCTGCTTTCCTGTCACTAAAGAGCCTATGTTCTCTCCCAAGCTTCCCCCACGCCACAAGCCAGACCCTGCTGGCCAAGTTCAAGCAGCAACACGAGGACAACAAGTACTTCCTGGGCACACCCGTCAAGGAGCCTGCCTTCATCATCCAGCACTTTGCAGGGAGGGTCAAGTACCAGATCAAGGTGCGTGTCTTCTGCATGGCTCTCCACAGGGGAAAGATGAGGCAGTCTGCTTCCGTAAAGGTTTACAGCCTTGAAAACCCTGTGGAGCAGTTCTGTTCTATCCTAGGGTTGCTGTGAGTTAGAATCGACTCGATGGCAGTGATTTATCATGGGTAGTGCTGGCAGTGAGCACGTGCTCGGCTCCTAACCAGAAGGTTGGAAGTTCATCCCAGCCACAGGTACTAAGAAGAAAGGCCTAAAAAACAAACCAAACTCACTGCCACCAACTCATTTCCGACTCAAAGCAACCCCCAGTGGGTCTCCGAGACTGTACATCTTTACGGAAATAGATCACCCCGTCTTCCTTCTGCAGAGCAGCTGGTGGGTTTGAACTGCTGAGAAGGAAGGCCTTGTGATCTCAAAAAATCACCCTATCTGGGAGAAAGATGAGGCAATCTCCTCCTGTAAAGATGTACGGTCTTGGAAACCCTGTGGGGCAGTGCTGCTCTGTCCTATAGGGTGGCTGTGAGTTGGAATTGACTCAGTAGCAGTGGGTTTGGGTGTTTTTTGTTTGTTTGTGAGGTTCGCTTGAGTCAGAATCAACTTACTGTCAATAGATCTGGGTTTTGAATACATATATACCTATTGGCAGTTGCTAGATGGTACAGACGTTGAGCTTGCCTATCTACGAACCAAAAGGTTGGAAATTCAAACTCACCCAGTAGCACCTCAGAAGAAGGGCCTGGCAATCTATTTCCAAAAAACCAGTCATTGAAAAACCCCATGGAGCACAGTGCTACTCTGAGACACACGTGGGGTCACTATGAATGAGTCAAATTGGTGGCAGCTGGTGTTTTTTTGTCTGTTCTGTGGTAGATGCTGAACAGGCTTCCAGAGCCTCTGTCCCTCGTCTTCATGGTCTAGGGCTCCTGGGGTGGCACTGCTCTGTGTGGTTGAGATAGCCCCCCCACCCCTCTCTACAGCCAGCTCATACCTCTCCTTCTCCCGCCAGGACTTCCGGGAGAAGAACATGGACTACATGCGGCCTGACATCGTGGCACTCCTGAGAGGCAGCGACAGCTCCTACGTGCGTGAGCTCATTGGCATGGACCCCGTGGCCGTGTTCCGCTGGGCCGTGCTGCGGGCCGCCGTGCGTTCCATGGCTGTGCTGCGGGAGGCCGGGCGCCTGCGGGCCGAGAGAGCCGAGAAGGCTGCAGGTAAGCAGGAGGAGGAGGCACTACCCAGCTCTTATCAGCTGTTAGCTCCCATCTGGTCGGCCCTGACTCCAGGACCCCACAGTCAGCTTTGGATGTGACTGTTGTGATCCATGGGGCTGTCAGTGGCTGATTTGGGGAAGGTTTTTGGGTCAAGGATGGGCAATCTACTTCCATAGTGGTACCACCTGGGGAACCCAAGGAGGGGTCGCTATGAGTCGGGTCCGACTGGACGGCATATAACAAGAGTGCCGCTCCAGCAGAAAATACCACGAATGGGTGGTTTGAACAGGCAGGGATTTATTTTCTTACAGTTTAGGAGGCTAGAAGTCCGAGTTCAAGGTGCCAAGCTTTAGGGGCTGGGTAAAGACCCTTCGATCTGGGGCTTCAGCTCTGCCTCTTGCTCCCGGCCCACTAAAACTGAAGGCTTCTCTTAACTCAGACAGCTGCTGGCTGCTGCAGCTGACAAACCCAAGGCCAAGAGATAAAATGGCACAGCCCAAGATTATCGAGCAACACGGCAGGCCACTAGTTCAAGTCCAGAGATAGTCCCAAGATCAGTAGACAACATGGCAGGCCACTCACTCACTGATGACTCAGCCAGGATCCAAGCATGCCAAAAAGCTGCAGAGACCTTTCTCAAAACTGCTGCTTATGTACTGGAAGCGGACCACATCCCTAAGGCAGCTATTCAGCTGCTCTAGTAGATTCCACCATGGAGCTGATGACCAGTCTCTTCATGGGGAATAACTACATCCAGCTGCCCAGCCACCAAAACCAGCCTAGCCAAGTTGACACACAGCTTAACCACCACAGAAGTCAACCGCCAGGCCTCTCTTCCTACTCCCTCTTAGTCTGGAACCTCCCCTGAAACCTGCTCAGTATCACACATCACAGAGGCCTCCTCTGACAGGTGGGGGGGCTGCACATGAGACGCACTGGCTGGGAGTCAAACCCAGGTCGCTCCCCATCTTCCCCTGTCCTACCCCCGACAACCACTAAGCTACTCTCTTCCTCTATGTATTTACCTGGTCCGGGCATCTCATGTCAGTGCACTCAGATGGTATATGGCCGTGTGTGCCTTACCAGGCATCATGTTTCCAAGGTTCATCCACGTAGTAGCATGTGTTGGTGCCTCATTCCTTTTCACAGTGAGTAGTATTGCATTGTGTGGGTGGATGTTTGGGTTGTTTCCACCTTTTGACAATTGTGTTGATTTTGTTTTAACCTTTGATTTTTCCTGAACACACAATCAAGACTGGATGGTAATCAGATATCTAATGTGAGCTAGGGTACGCTTAGGGCTTGTCATGGTCGTGTCCTTCACGTGAGGTTGACAAGTTAACCTTTCCCATCCCCAGAAGGTGGGAATGAATGTCCTCATTTTTCCAATAAGGAACCTTGTAGAAGGATTGACTGGCTCTCACCCAGGGTCACATGGCATTGGCCTTCTGTGCCGCACAGTGGAGATGGTTGATTAGAAAGAACCCAAAAAGGATAAAGCCTTTGTAAGAAATAGGAAATAAATGGTGTGCTTTTTTAAAAAAAAAAAAAAAAGAGGATAACAAATATATTTCCTTACCAGAACAAAATGAGATTTTAGCAATTTTCATAAGAAAAGTTTACAGTTGTCTCTGTTCCTTGTTCTAAGATTCTTTAAAGTTATTTCTGCATTCATTTGTTTATTATCTCTTTAGTCAGCCTCATAATCTAATCCTTTTTTTTTTTTTTAATTGTGATTTGGGTAAAAGTTTACAGAGTAGATTGATTTTTCATTCAACAGTTCATCCACATTTTGTTTCATGACATTGACTACAATCCCCACAGTGGAACAGCTCTCTTCTCACTTCCTGCCTGTGGTACCTTTTCCTTGTGTCCTTCTTTCCTGTGCATTCCTGCCCTCTGAGCTGTCTCCCTGTGCAGACACTGCCCTTCTGGTCTGCCATGGTTGATTGTTGTAAGGAGTGTAAAATGGTGGGCTCTTTTTAGAAGGCATCACCCTGTTCAGAATTCTCTACTCTGCCCAAAGTTATCATATTTGTGAAAAACTGTGTCATAATATTGCTGTTGTTTTTTGTTTCTAACTATGTTGTTGTTGTTGAGAATATACACAGTAAAAACAGACACCAATTCAAGTTTCTGCATGTGCAGTTCAGTGACATCATTACACTGTTTGAGTTGGGCAACCATTCTCACTGTCCTTTTCTGAGTTATTCCTCCCTCATTCACATAAACTCCCTGCCCCCGCTCTTTGTCTGACCTTTCATGTCACTGTTGTCAGTTTGATCCCATATAGATAGATCTTAAAAGAGCACGGGAGTTCTGGTAGCATAGTGCCTAAGTCACTTGACTGCTAACCAGAAGGCTGGCAGTTCAAGCCACCAGCCACTCCTTGGAACGAAGACTGGGCAATCTACCTCCATAGAGATACTGCCTCAGAAGCCCAAGGAGGGGTCGCTATGAGTCGAATCAACTCAATGGCAGTGAGTTTGGTTTGGTTTTTTTTTTTTAAAAAAGCAGTCTTCAGCGCATGGATTCCTTACAAGTTAAGCTAAACTGTTGTTTGGTTTGAGATGGTTAGAGTACAGCTTGCAGTTAGAGTCCCTAGGTGATATAGATGGTAAAAAGCTTGGCTGCTACCCAACAGATTGGAGGTTAGAATCCCCCCCCACCCCCACCCCAGAGCTTCCTCTGAAGAAAGGCCTGGCCATCTACCTCCAAAAAATCAGCCATTAAAAACCCTTTGGAATAATTCTGCTCAACACACATGAGGTCTTCATGAGTCAGTGACTCAATGGCACCTGGTTAAGGCTTGCAGCCGCCATGGGAAAGACGGGGTTGCTGGTCTCCAGGCGACCATCCCACCGTGTCCACTATGTCCCCAGCAGGCATGGGCAGCCCCGGTGTCCAGAATCACCCAGGAGAGCCACAGAGAGCAGCCAACACCCCGTCGGAAAAACTGTACCGGTGAGCAAGACCTCGGTCCGTCCAAATCAAAGCCTCTGAAAGGAGCCCCTGGGTGTCGCAAACGGTTAAGCACTCAACTGCCAGCCCAAAGGTCCGGTTCAAATCCGTCCAGAGGCACCTGGGAAGATGGGGCTGGCAGTCTGCTTCCAAAAGGACACACCTGAGGAGCAGTTTACCCTGCACCTGTGGGGTCGCAGGGGTCGGAGTCAGGGCCCCAGCAACTACCATAACGCAGTTCCTAGTCAAAGCCTTTAGACAGCAGGGCCGGGTAACCAACCCCAGAGACCTGACTTGCACAGCAGGGTGTGACCGCCACACTGAGTGAGTCAGTGCCCTTCTCCACACAGCACAGCAGGGGAGATATGGGCTTCATTCTCAGGGCATCCTTCCCGTGGCCAGGGGGCTGCCAGTGGGTGGGTCAAGGCAGAGAGATGGGCCTGACTGAAGAGTCCTCCTCCCCTTAGTCAAAGGTCCCTGGGAGGCACAGAGGGTCTGCTCTCAACTAGTAATCTACAGGTTGGCAGTTCAAACCCGCCCAGCGGTGCCATGGAAGACAGGCCTGGCAGTCTGCTTCCATTGAGATTACAGCCAAGAAGACCCTATGGAACAGGTCTGCTCTGTCCCACATGGGGTCACCATGAGTCAAAATCAACTCAATGACACCTGATTGTTTTGGGTCCCCTTAGCCCCGTAGGGGTATCCCAAACATGGATCTCTAAGCAACTTCCCTAGCAGTCAGAAATACAGACGCCTCACTGCTGCATGCGAGATGCCGTGGGGTATGTTGTGGTCACCTAACAGGGACTGCAAGTCCCTGGGTCACGCAAACAGTTAATACCCTCAGCTGCTAACCAAAGGGTGGGTGGTACACGTCCACTCGGGTGCATCAGAAGAAAGGTCTAGCAGTCTTCTTCCACAGCCTCAGCCATTGAAAACTCTGTGGAGCACAGTTCTACTGTGACACACATACCTGGTCGCCAGCAGTCAGAGTTGACTCGACAGTAGCTGGTTTTAGCAATGACCAAAGGTCCCCAACATGCCCCAGGACACACTGATGCCAGGGCATAAAAGGGCCCAAGAAATGGGGTGAGAGACCTCAGTCAGGGCCATGCTGGACAGATGTCCAGGTAGTGATGAAGCCAGGGGAGGGACACTCCATTGTATCCCTCAGAGCTGGGCAGGCTGAGTTGAGAAGGGACCAGATGAACCAGGCAAGAAGGGCAGGCAGGGTCTGCCAACCACAGGACCATAATGTGCAAAGGCCCCGGGGCAGCCATGTCCTTGCTTTCTTTCTCAAAATCCACAAATCCCACAGATGACAAGTCTCAAAATTTTTGAGTGTAAGTCATTTTTTTGAGTCCTTTGTAATAATTGGGCAATCTATTTCTGTAGTGATATCACCTAGGAAACCCAAGGAAGGGTTGCTGTGAGTCAGACCTGACTCAACAGTGTTTTTTGTGTTTTGTTTGTTTGTTTGTTTTTTGTTTTGTAATAATACTTGTTTGGAAGATAAAATTTGTCTGTGAAGGTAGATCTAGCACCTGGGTAAATGGCTGCGATTCCTTGGTCTGAAAATTCAATGTGTCATTTTCCTGCTTTTCACAGTGTAAGTTTCTAAGTCAGTTTTTTCCCCAAAAAGGAAGGCAGGAGAAAGGCAAATGTACTTCTCCGCTGCTTGTGTTTTTAGGCTTATTTTCTCCCAAAAGGGTCTTTGACCTGTCAGTCTCCCCAGGGCCTACCCCCAGCCGCGGGTCCCACCAGGGAGTGCGTTCAGTTTATACAGCTTCTCCCTTTCAGCTGCTCAATGCTAGATTTCTCATTTGACGGCTCTGAGGAGTTCGATATTAACGCTTTTGAGGACATCATTGCTTTCTATGAAAGCAAGAAGTAAGTGGAAGCAAGGGCCCTCGAACCCGAGACCAGGGAGGCACGTAAGAGGACCCATCTGCCCCAGCGCGCCGTGCAGCGCCAGGGCAAGAAGAGAGCAGAGCAGGGGGCACCAGGGCCTGCAGATCAGGGGACACGCTCGCCAGATTTGGCTGGGGCCGGGGATGTGGGCTGTGGCGGTCACATGGGGCAGCTCCGGGCACAGAGGAGGCATCCAAGTACAGGCACAAAATGTGACGCCTCTGTTATCTTTGCTCTGTGCCTCCCTGGAGAACAAGGGCACGGAGGTAAGTGCGCCCTCGGGTCCGGGCATGCGGTCTGGTTCACACGGTCTGGTGCATGGAACACGGACAAAGGAGTGCTGCTCAGGTCGTTCCACCCACTGCCTTGAGCTTAAACATGCATGTGAAAAAAAAAAAAAAACCACCCTGGATGAACCTGGAATCCTTCCAGAAAGTTCTTTTAAGGCATTTGTTGATTCTAGTTATTTGTTAATTCATTCTAAAAGTGCTCAGTTTTCATCTCTAAGCCTTTATCATGTGTTGGTCAGCTCAGGCCTAAACCAATAGCAGTTAAAATGAAGCTAATAGGACTAAATCTTTCAGGGTGAAGAGCCCCTTAAACTGGGTTGTTTTTTTTTCCCCTCCACTGTGCCGACGTTTGGTTCTACATCAATCATAGTCTTGGAAGGGGCCACTTTATGCACTGTAGGGTGTTGAGCCGCATCCCTGGGCTCTACCCACTTGATGCCAGTCACGCCCCCTCCGCCAGGTCTGATAACCACAAATGTCCCCTGACATGGCCAGTGTGTCCCCAGGTAGCAATGCGCCCTCATTAAGAATCGCCATATTAAACTCTGCATACCCAGAGTCATCCCTCCCAAGACTTTTCAGAAAGCCAGTTAAGAGGTCAGCCAAACAGTAACGGTAGAGCACTTTGCTTCTTCCCACGGAGACCCTTCGATGTTACTTCTTTAGTGGCTCTTGCTTTTTTCAATGATCCAAGGTGCCACACTGCAAAGTCCACTCTGCTCAAAGCCCTCCAAAGGGTGGCTGTCCTGGCTGACTCCCCCAGTGGGATTTTGTCTGCTGACCACATTTGCATGTTTCAGCTCCAGGGGTGTCTGGGGAATGGTTCTGACGGCACAGGGAGCCCTAGGTGGCGGGCCTGCTGCTCTAACTCCGTCTTCTCTCTGTCACTGCACCTCCCTCCCTCACCCACCCCACCCCTACCCACCCACCCCCACCTCGGTCCCCCAGAGATTTGCATGATCAAATCATCAGGACCATCAAGGGACTGCCCTGGCAGGGCGAGGACCCCCGGCGGCTTCTCCAGTCCCTCAGCCGGCTCCAGAAACCCCGGGCCTTCATCCCGTGAGTCCCTCCCGTGGCCGTGGGGGGGCCCCCCCGCGGCCCCTCCTTGAAAGTGCAACAACTGCCCCCGCCACCCCTGGGGCTCCAGCCTGCCCCCACTCCTACAGCCGGCTTCCCCTTCCTGCATTCCTCACCGGCTGCTAAAAAACTACACTGAGCTCTTGCGCGGCTGTGTCTGCAAGCCAGCCATAGCTAAACCACCTTCTTAACAAGCCTCAGTGTCTGCGCTGCTGCCTCAATATCTGCCGCCTCCCCATCCCCCCTGGCAGCTTGGCCAGAACTGCATCTAATTGTCCGCCCACCCCCCCCCCCCCCCAGAGGTGTCTCCCCAGCACACAGAGCAAAGCTTGCTTCTCCTCCTGTCTGAGTCAGGGTTCTCTGGAGAGAAACAGAACCAGCAGGATGTACTTCTACAGAGAAGGAGGTTTACTTCAAAGGATTGGCTCCCGCTGCTGTGGGGGCTGGCCAGTACAGAATCCTTAGGCCAGGCAGCAGGCTAGAGAGTTCCACAGGCTCGGGTCCGAGATCCCGAGGTCAGGCCACAGGAAGTGCAGGGTCAAAAGAAAACAAGTTTTGCCAAAATAACTGTGTAGGCTGGAGGCGGAGCATACTCTAGGGAAACTCCCCTTTTAACTGATAGAGTGATTGCATTCTGTTACAAGGCAGCAATTAGACTAGCATTTGACCAAACGCTGGGAAGCATATCCTAGCCAGGTGGACATACATTAACCATCACAGTCCCCTTGACTGTTGTTAGCATCTAAGGAGGCCCGTGCAGGGCGGGGGCTGGGGGCTTTGTGTGCCTTAACTCCGAGCCATGGCTCCACTTCTGCAGACTCCAGCGCTGTGTGATCAGAAAGGTCCAGAAGTCGCACAGCAGAGTTTGGTCCTAACTCCCTACCACTAACTCATCCCGTGGCAGACCCTCCTGGAAGTGACTGGAGGGCTCAGCAGTGGGGAAGTGGTTCTCCTGCCTGTGGGGCATGAACCCAGTGCCAGGCAGGCGGCAGCACAGCTGGTGGGCCCATGCAGTCACCGTTTCCAATCTTCAGGGGCCACTCTGGGCACAGGCCAGTCAAGAGCAAAGCTTGTCCCAGCCCAGGAGGCAGTTTTGAAATTTGTGTGGTGTGCCTTATTGCATGCTGGAGTCTCGGAGTCTCGAGGTAGCACAAACAGTAAACACGCTCAGCTGCTAACCAGAAGGTTGGAAGTTCAAGTCTACCGAGGCACCAGAGGGAGAAAGTCTTGGCAGTTTACTTTGGAAAAAAGCCCCACTGCAAACCCAGTGCAGTTCAGTCCTGCTCTGACTCTCCTGAGTCAGGGTCAACTCGACAGCAGCTGTTATATGCATGACCCCAGGAGGATTAAGATGAAACCTACCCAACTAGGACCTGACGGGCCACGCGTTTAGTGCTGGCATTCTGCCCATCTGTGGGCTACCATTTCCTTAGCCAGTTTTAAAAACAACCCAGGCTGCTCTTTTCTGTATTTTTGTTCTGTCTGGAAGGTTCAGTAACATGTCTGGAAATGGGAGGGAGGCAGCAGGAGGCAAAGGGACCATCCCCCATCCCTCCCTCAACCACCGACTGGCTTTTATGCCTTCGTTTAACCAGTGTGAGTCCCAAGAGAAATCCTCATTGTTGTGGATAGCTGCCACTAAGTTGGCCCCAACTCATGGCAACCCCACACCCAGTAAAACAAAATACTGCCCAGTCCTGCGCCATCACCATGATTGATTATAATTATTGTAAACCACGGGGTTTTCATTGGCTGGTTTTCAGGAGGTCACCAGGCCTTTGTTCCTAGTCTTTCTTAGTGTGGAAGCTCCACTGACAGGTGCCTGGTGACTCCCCATGAAGTGCATTGGCCAGAAACGGAACCAGGTTCTTCCACATGGAAAGAGAGAATTCTAACCCTGAATTACCACTGCCTCCTGAGAAGGGCTCCCTGGGCTTCTTCCAGGGCCCATCCTTGCACTGCCTGCTGGAGGGTCCAAGGAGCTCTGTAGGCTCTCTGGGCTTTTGCCAAATGGAACCAGGACACCTAGTGGGGATACAAACTGCTCAGGGTTGCTTACATTTTATTATTATTATTATTATTGTGGCAAAATTATATACAGGTAGTCCCCGACTTACAACAGAGTTCTGTTTCGATGACTCTAAGTCGATTCTGACATATGTTGAATACCTTTTTTTTTTCCCCCAGTTTTCATTATTACTGCTTTTTATTATCAGTACCTTTATAAATCCAGTCTTTGTTTTTGGGGATTGGAAACGTGACATATAAACTTACTCATTTCCATCGAGTTGATTCCAACTCATAGTGACCCCCATTGGGTTTCCAAGGCTGTGTATCTTTATGGAAGCAGATTTCCTTATCTTTCTTCCGTGGAGCAGCTGGTGGCTTTGAATCACCAGCCTTTTGGTTAACAGCAAAATGCCTTAACCACTACCCCACCAGAGCTCCTTCTTATATAAACTTACAGATGAATTTTCTTACATACATACGTACATTAAAAAAAAGTCCATAAAAAAATGGACAATGTTGTCATTTTGTCAATTGAGATAATAACTCCAATTATAGATGGTGCTGGGTTATCCCTGGAAATGAGGATGGCATTTCTAGTTAGAAAATGAGCGCAAATTGTTTTGCATGGTCCTTCTTTGTGCTGCAACACTATATGTAGCACATGACTAACAATAACATTCAGATCTAAGTGTTGTTTGTCGTAACTCAAACACATCCTGAGTCAGGGACTATCTGTATAACAAAACATTTGCCATTTTAAACTTTGCTTGTACAGTCCAACCAACAAAAAATGCAACCACTGCCGCGGAATTAGATCCAACTCATAGGAACCCCTCCTTGGGTTTCTGAGGCAGCATCACTACAGAAATAGATTGCCCAGCCTTCCTTCCGAGGAGTGGCTGGTGGGTTTGAACCGCCTGCCTTCTGGTTAGCAGTCACATGGTTAGGCACTGCGCCACCAGAGCTCCCTTGTACAGTCCAATGACGTTAATTACGTTCACCATGTTATACAAGCCATCAGCCACCATTTCTGGGCTCATGGCCTCTGATGCTCCAGCCAGCCCATCCTGTCCTCACATTTTTAGTATCTGTCAGCTCCTCTTTAGCCACCCTGTGGAGATGAATGGTCCTTGGGTGGCACAAATGGTTTTCCCTCGACTACTAGCCTTGGTGGCACAGCAGTTAAAGCACTCAACTGCTAACGAAAAGGTTGTCAGTTCCAACACACCAGCCTCTCCCCAGGAGAGAGATGTGTCAATCTACTTCTGTAAAGATTAGTCTTGGAAACCCAATGGGGCAGTTCTACTCTGTCCTGTAGGGTCACTATGAGTCGGAGTCAACTCGTCAGCGATGTGTTTTGGGTTTAGTTAATGAACCTAAGAGTTGGCATTTCAAACCCACCCAGTGGCGCTGCACAAGGAAGGCCTGGAAATCTGCTGCCATAAAGGTGGTGGTTGTTAGTTGCCATCAAGTCGATGGCAACTTGTGAGTGCGCCATCAGCATGGAACTGTGCTCCATAAGGTTTTTGGTAGGTTGGCAGGCCTTTCTTTCACAGCACTACCAGGTGGGTTCGAACCTCAACCTTCACCTGATAGTCGAGCACTTGACTGTTTGCACTGCTCAAGGACTCTCCCCGTAAAGATCACAGCCAAAAAGACCCATGGAGCATTTCTGCACTGACACCAGTGGGGTCGCCACGAGTCACAATCAACTTGACTAAGGGGTTGAGGTGTTTTGTTTTGTTTTTTTGTACGTGAGAATGAACGTTGCACTTATGACCAGTGGTCCCTTTCTTCCCAGAGATCCCAATGACTCCCCACCCAGACTATGCACATACCCACTCAGGGCCAGCCAGAAGCAGAGTCCAGCTGCTGCCTGCCCGATGAAGCCAGGGTCCGCAGATCAGCCACTGAGAGCCCTCTTGCCCATGGCTGCAGACAGCGGCCACCCAGGGTCCCCGAGGGTCTGGCAGCGGCCTTGTTGCACTTGTCCCCTTTCTTCCACTCTCTGCTCTCGCTTGGTCTAACCCGCAAAGCGTGGCTTGCTCGACTAACCCAAATACTGACGCCGTGTTCCTCTTGTTCACAAAACGATTTTTAATATTTTGACAGGAAAAGTAAAGGTATCAAACAAAAGCAGATCATTCCCAAGGTAAACATGCGCGGCTCGCCGGAAGACGGTGTCTTGCTCTTGCTTGTTGTAGGGATCACCTGGCTGCAGTTGTTTTTTCTGAAAATAGGGAGAAGGCACTTTTAACTTCTTCAGCTTCTCCTTTTCACAACTGCCCCCCCAAAAAAAAAATTTTGTTTTTTAATTGCTCATATTGAAGTGATTCTGAGCTGTCTTTGTTTGGGTTTCTTGGAAGCAGAGCCTGTGGCAAGGATACTTGCACAAGTGATGGATGGAGTGGAGCTCGGGGATCTGAGGGGGATGCAAGGAACAGAGAGGGGTAGAGGGAGGGCTGAGCGAGGGTTTGGGCTCAGCTGGAACCCAGCTCAGCCTGGTCCTACAGGGAGCCCCACACCTCGGTGCTTGCCCTGCCCAGTGGCAAGGGGCCTGGCTGTTATAACCCCTTATTGATCATTTATTGCCTACAGGTCTCCCTGGGGGGAGGCAAAATGGGGTGTGCAGCCTCTCCCAGGCATCTCTGAGAAAGCGGCTCTTCAAGAGAGTCTTGCCAGGAAGTAGGCAAAGGAGCTACAGCCCTGCAGCCAGCCGCTCTATCTAGTTTCTTTCCCGTTGGAAACTACAGGAAGTTTCTGGAACCACAAGGACAGTCTCTTAGTCTGGTCAGCAGGTGGGGTACTGCTGGCTCCTCTGGTCAGCCTGATTGGCACATGGGCAGCACAGAAGGCTTGGTCCTCCCTGGCTCACCTGAGATAAGTTGTGATGAACAGGCAGCTGAAATGTGGCCCTCAGTAGCCATGGGTTTCCTCTTGTGACCCCAAGAAAAGAGATAGGGCATCCACTGGGCCATACAGGAGGCTGTAGCCAGCCTCTCCCCACCCAGATGCCACAGCTGAGGGTCGCCCCAGTGGGCCCCTGCATCTGAACTCAGCAGCTGAGACAGTGAACCTCTGCATCCGTGGCAGGACACTAGCTTGGGGCTGTGCCCTCCAGTGCTCATTGGGGCTGTGGAGGGCAGACTGGACCCCAGATCCCATCCATCTATCCTAGAACCTATTGGACTCCAAGTCCCTGAAGCTCATCATCAGCATGACCCTGCACGACCGCACCACCAAGTCCCTGCTGCATCTGCACAAGAAGAAGAAGCCGCCCAGCATCAGCGCACAGTTCCAGGTGGGCAGTGGCAAGGGACGCTGAGGTGGGGCAAGGAGAAGCCAAAGCCAGCTGGCGCTCAGCTCAGCCTGGCATCTGTGCAGCTCACCAAAGACGAACTTCAACACAGGCAGCTTATCCATTGTCCTAGGTGCCCCACAGTGGCACTGTTGACCTTTGCCTCTGGAACATTCTATGTAGTAAGGGTCATCCTATGCACTGTAGGATGCTGGGGCAGATCCCACTCAATGCCAATGCCCACTCCCCTATTTATTACAATCGAAAAAGATTCCCAGGCATCATCAATATCCCCCTGGGGGCAGAATTGCCCCCAGGTAAGGACCACTGGGTTCTAAGCCTTGTGATTAGTACATGGGTTAGGGGATTCAGCTGACCCCCAGTAGACTCTGTGTTCCATGATTGCTTGACCTACTGAAGTTCTAGGATACTGCACACATTTAAATATACAAACTGAGTGGGGAAGGAGAAAGAAAAATCACAGAAGCTGAGGTAGGGATCAAACTCAGTTTTGTTTGCACAAATAACACAGCGTTTCCCGCTTCAGCACTGTTGACATTTAGGGCATCTTGTGTACTGATCTGAGCAGCATCCCTGGCCTCTACCCACTCAATGGCAATAACACCCACGCCCCCTGTTGTAACAACCAACAATCTCTCCTGAGATTGCCAAGTGTCCCCTAGGGCAGAATCACCTCTGGTGAACCCCTAGATTAGGGGATTCCACAGATCTGCAAGAGACTCTTCATCCCATAATCACTTGACCTACTGAAATCTTAAAGACACTTCACACATTTAAATACATAGATGAGTGGGGAGGAGAAGAAGAGAGAAATCAAAGAAGCTGGGGGGTCACCCTGGTTTATACCATCTAACCCATCAAGAATTTATTCTTGTTGCATAGTGTGAGGTAGGGATCAAACTCTTTTCCCCAACCCCCAAATAATTAATGCAGCATTTCTGATGTTTAGTTCTGGATCCTTCTCTGTGGTGGGGGCTATCCTGTGCACTGTTGGGTGTTGAGCAGGATCCCTGGTCTCCATCCATTAGATGCCAGTAGCTTGCACATACACCCCTTAATCATGACAACCCAAACATCTGCAGGCATCACTCAGTATCTGCTGGGGGCAGGATCACCTGGGTGAGAACCACAAGGTCACAGTGTCATGGGCCAGCACATTGGTTAACAAAACTGCTGAACTGGGTCATGCAGTCATCTCCCTTTTTCCCTGGCAGCCAGGAAGCATGGAGTCAAATTTTTAGGGGAACAGAAGCAGCCAGCGTCACCATTTGCTTTTTGGCTCCTTCCCATTCCCCCAACACATTGTCAGGCTTCAGGGTGCACAGATTATGGGGGAGCTCCTGCAACCCATTGGGAAAGAATATATGCTTCCTTCTGTCTGAGACTTTTTTATTTTTATTTTTTGATGAAAATATGCACAGCAAAACATACAGCAATCAGCAGTGTCCACATGTTACGATTCGGTAACATGGATTACATTCTTCAGGTTATGCAACCCTTCTTCCTTAGCTTTTCCAAGTCATTCCACCACCATTAACATAGAGTCACTGCCCCCCAGGCTTGTCATCTAACCTTTCAAGTTGCTTTTGTTAATTTGATCTCATGTAATTCTTTAAAAGTATACAATGTTCAAGGCAGATGTGATTTACTAAATTAAACAGTTTGGTTAAAGATGACTTCAGGAGCCAAGACTTGTTTTAGTTCCCCAGAAGTTTGGCCCACACCCTTCCCCTTCCATCTGAGGTCCAGGCGAGAGCCACATGGGAGATGGTGGCTTTTAGCTGTGGGGGCGGGGCATAGACCCCTCAGGAATTCCTCAGGGTAGTGCAGCCTCTGATCGGAGCATGTGGCTTCAACTGCCACATCTTGCCACCTGGGATCTGCATTGTGCCCCCTGTCCCCTTCGGCAAGCAGTGTGCTCTTGGAATATTTGACCCAGCCCAGCTCAGCACAGAATCTTCTCCATCTCTCCCTAGACATCCCTTAACAAGCTCCTGGAGGCGCTGGGCAAGGCAGAGCCCTTCTTCATCCGCTGCGTCCGCTCCAATGCCGAGAAGGTGAGCATCATAAGGAAACAGGCCTGGCACTGGCTGGGCTCCTGAGGTATTTCTACCTCTGGCAGTCACCATAGAGGACAGGGACAGCCTTTGTATCCTGGGAGTGGGGGTCAGGGCCACAGCCAACTTCAGGGAAAGACTGCACGGAGCCCAGTCGAGGTGGGGTTCTAGAAACTGCACACAGGATGCTGTGGCTGGTCGGGCAGAAGGGCAACAGGCGGAGGGTCAGCATGGTGTTATCTGAGTCTAGAGAAACAAGGACAGACGACAGATCAAGTGTGCAGAGAGAATGTCCGAGGTGAAGGAAAAGCGGATGCAGGAGGCCCTCCCTGACACAGCACCACTGTGTGCACCCAGTCACACTGGAATCCCACATGGCGGTGGCTGCCTGGAAATTGGTGCCTCATCTCTGCACCGTGGACGTCTCCCATGTGTGGCCAAGGCACACTCCCTGACCACTCCCCGTGCTGTTTCAGAGGGAGCTGTGCTTCGATGAGGAGCTGGTGCTGCAGCAGCTGCGCTACACAGGCATGCTGGAGACCGTGCGCATCCGGAGGTCAGGCTACAGCGCCAAGTACACATTCCAGGTACCGCACATGCACACATGCACGTTTGTACTCATACACACGTACATGCAGGCCCGTGTGCATGAACATGCATATGTACACAGGTGCACATGGACATGGACATACATGCCCCTGTAGACACACATGCAGGGGCATGCACACGCACGGACTGGTCCCCTAAGGCTGCCGTAATAAATCACCACAGAGTGGGTAGCTTTAAAGAACAGACTTGTTCTGTTATAATTCTGGAGGCTGGGAATCCAGATCTGGGTGTGGGCCGTGTGGACTCCCCCGAGGCTCTGAGGAGAATCTGGTCCAGGCCTCTCCCCCAGCACCTGGTGGCTCCAGGCATTGCTTGGCTTGCCGCTAAAGCATCCCATGACGTCCTCCCTGTGTGTCTCTGTCTTCTCTATATTAGGACACCATCCATAGGAGTAGGAGCCACACCCCAATATGACTTCATGTTAATCTAACTGATCACATCTGCAAAGACCCTATTTCCAAACAAGGTTACGTTCACAGGTACTGAGGTTAGGACCCCGACTTTGGGGGACACAATCCAATCCATAAGAGAGGCTGTCTATGCCCCACAGGGTGTTAACCAGCATCCGTGGCCTCTACCCACTCGATGCCAGTAGCACCTCCATCCTTAACAACCACAGATGCCCCCACATATCACTAAGTGCCCCCCTCAAGTGGTTATAGTGGCTGCAGTGAGAGCCCTGCATGCCACCACAAGCCGGTGGGCACAGGACTGGGCTGGAGGTAACAGCACCATGTCCAGCCAGAATGTGACCTGTGCAGTCTTGGGGACCTTGCTGAATCATCATCTTCCCATCTGCACCATAGAAACACCATCCTTCTGAACCTGGGCAGATATGAAAGGGAAAATTGTAGAAAGAAGGGGAAACAATAGGCATTTTACTAATGCTTGGCTCTTAAGGATTGAAATGACTGTTCCCTTAAAAGGCACATCCTGTTTGGTGGCTGCTCCAAAAATTAAACATAGAATTACCACGTGACCCAGCAGTTTCACTCCTGGGTCTGCACCCAAGAGATTTGAAAACAGAGATTCAGACTGACACTTGGCCCCCAGTGTTCCTAGCAGCTCTTTTCACAACAGATGGAAACAACCCAAGCAGCCATCAGCAGATGAATGGATAAACAGTGTGGTTCATCCATGCAATGGGGATATTCCTCCAGCAGACAGAGAAATAAAGTCCTGATACTGCTACGGCATGGGTGAACCTCAGAACCATGATGCTGAGGGCAAGAAGTCAGACACAAAAAGATAAATACTGTATGATTCCACTTGTATGAAATAATCTGGAAGGGGCACATGCATAGAGACCAAAGTTTATTCATTGTTCCCAGGAGCCGAGGGAGGAACAAGGAGGGACTGCTAAATGGAACGGGCTTTCTGTTTCTGTTTGAGAGTGTTCTGGAACTAGGTCGTGATTCAGTGTGAATTAATGCCACTGACTTATACACTTACAATGGTTAAAATGCCAACATTTATGTTATGTATAATTTGCTGTTGTTGTTAGGTCCCATTGAATCCATTCTGACACATAGCAACCCCCACGTACAATAGAACAAACACTGCCTGGTCCTGCACCATCCTCACTGTCGTAGCTGTGTTTGAGACCATCATTGTAACGTCAGTCCATCTTGCTAATAAGCATCTTCTTTTCTGCTAACCCTCTGCTTTAGCAAGCAAAAAAAAAATATATATATATATATATATATATATATATATATTTTTTTTTTTTTTTTTAATTTTTAAAGCAAGGCAAGTGGAATTACTCAGCCATAAAAAGGAGTGGAGTTCTGACACATGCTACAAGAAAGCACTTTGCTGAGCTTTTCTGACACATGAACCTAGAAAGCACTTTGCTGAGCAAGAGAAGTCAGACACAAAAATATTGTATGATGTTATTTATGTGAATTATCTAAAATAGGCAAATGTATAAAGACCAAATTTGTTAGTCGATGCCAGGGGTGAGGGAGAGAGGCAATTGTTTAGGAAGCTGTGAGTTTGTATTTATGATGATGAGAAATAACACAACGGTTATGGGGAATGGCTGCCCAATATGTTAATAGAAGTGATGTTGCTACGTTATACACCTGGAAAATGTTGAATTGGCAAAAAAAAAAAAGGATGGCAAGGAACAATGTACATGGTATGATCTCAACTTGAATTTTTTAATTACAAATAATAAGCACATACCCCCAGTTGCGATCGAGCCCTCAAGCCACAGATCGGGACCTGCTGGGTTCCCCAGAACGGTGTTAGCTCCAAACAGGCTCTGGTGGGTACTTGGTGACAGAAGATTCCAGAAATCTGTGCCACAGTTACCTAAAGATTTTGACTACTTCAGAATCCCCAAACTGTTAGATCTGTTCCAAGACCATTCACATGCAAGGAAACCACAGCCTTGAAAATGAGGCCAGGAAACTGCGGGAGCTCATCACCTTGTTGCTGAAAATGCTCTCATGGACTCTTACCTCTTGTCCACACCCCCCAGGACTTCATGGAACAGTTCCAGGTACTGTTGCCCAAGAATGCCCCACCCTGCAGGGAAGTCATCTCCACACTGCTGGAGAAGATGGCTGTGGACAAGAAGAACTACCAGATCGGGAAAACCAAGGTCAGCGAGCACCCACACCTCCACGTGGCTGCAGACTCAGGGACCGCGGCCCTCAGCCACACGCAGGTCTCCTCCGGGCCCCAAACCATGGGCCCAGTGCCTTGTTCCCCAGCACAGCGGTGGGACCACGGGGCTGGAGCTCGGGCCTCTGATGGACTTGGCTGGAATCTCTGGGGGCTCGGACAAGCTGCAGGGCTGCCCTGTTTCCCATCTCCTCATTTGTAGGACAGGGCTCATCCTACTGATCTTACAGTGTGTTTGTTGTTGCTATTAGCCGCTGCTGAGTCCAGCCTGACTTACGGCAACCCTGTGCACAACAGACTCACTGCTGTCAAGTCAGATCCAACTCATAGTGACCCCTCCTTGGGTTTCCGAGGCAGTATCACTACAGAAGTAGATTGCCCAATCTTCCTTCCGAGGAGTGGCTGGTGGGTTTGA